AAGAGTAGTTTACTAACAATATTGAAAAAATACGAACTTAAGCATTTTTTTTTAAAAAAAGGGAAACATGATTAATTAGTATCAAGGTTTTTATTATTTTTTGATTTAAATTAATTATTCTTTAACCTATTTTATTTCATGTACAATAAGATGTGTCATTGATACTTTAATTAGATTGTTTAAGTTATAGTTTGTTTCTTGAATTTAAGATAACATTATTAGTATAAACATATTTTTTTAATAACTTAATCTATATTTAATGACACTTTTTAGTTAGTTTATACTTTTTTTTGATGTTAATCTTCATAATATTATATAATGTCATTTCTATTATCATTCTTTATTCTGTTTATTTATATTTTGTTATTTCAGGCATGAATTTATTTTTCTATTTTAACTTCTTCATATATTTCTAATCTATAATATCTGTTTTATTTTCGTATTCTGTTAATATTTTGTTATCTTATTTTGAATACTTTCAATATGTAATAATTAACATTTATACTTGTAATTAAATTATAATATTCTTTGTTTATTTCGGTTATTAAATACAAAACAAAATGTTAATTAATACTATTTAATGGTTATAAGTATATTAATCAATAATACAAATGAGAATAGAGGTAAAATATATCATTAATTATTTTCATTTGGATAAAACATTTTTTGATATTTGATTATTTCTTCAGTTCTTTTATTCCTTTGTTAATCACTCTTTTTTTTAAAAAAAAATCAGTTTACTTTTATAAATATTCATCAAAATTTAATGAATAATTTTGATTTGGGAACCAAAATAAGTAAAGAAATAATGAATCTAAATAAAAAATAACAAAAAGAAAAGGGCAAAATATTTTGAATCAATAAAATAATAGTTTTTATTATTTTACTCCTAAAAAAAAAAAAATAAAAAAGTAAATTAAATACACATTCTATATTCATTTATATTTCTTTATATTTTATATCATTTTATGGTAAATTGTTCTGAATTATAAATGATTCAGAAATGATATCTGATTCAATGTAAGTATATATTTTTATTATTATGTTATTATTATGTTATTTATGTATTTTATTATTATATATTTATATATATTTTATTATTATATTTATTTTTATTATTATATTATATATATCATCATTTTATCTATATATTTTATATTTATCATATTTTATTAGTTTTATATTCTTATTATTTATATTTTTTTTTAAATTCATATATTTCTATTTATATATTAATATATTTCATTATCTTATTTTCATTTTGATTATATTTTTATATTTTATATCAATTTTCTCTTTATATTTATTATTATTATTATTATTATTTTATTCATATTATTTTGATTTTATTTATTATTTCATTTATATATTTTATTTATTATTATATCATTTCATTTCTCTCATTATTTCTTTATTGTTTATTATTATTTATTTAATTTTTATATCTTCTATCTATATTATATGAAATTATTATTTATTATTTATTACATATTATATACCAATCATATAATATTTATAATTGATTATATATTATATTTTTATTCTTTTCTCTTCTTTTTTATATTATTTCTTTTTTTATTTAAATATATTTGTTTTTGTATTTTTGTTATTTATTTTATTTCTTATTTTTTGTGTTTATTTTATTCTTATTTATCATATTTATCTTTTATATTATGTTATATTTGATTTTATTAATTATATCAATTAGTATTTTATTAATATAAATATTATGTTTATTATTTTATTATTTATTTATTTTTATTATTTGTTTTATCTTTTCTTATATCTTTATTATTTTATGTTTATTATATTTTATTTTTTTATTTCTTTTTC